ACAGACAGCAGCTTAGGGACCCGGAGCAGCATCATTACGGATATGAGAGCTTTTATCTCCTGGGAAAACTAATTTCCTAAATGGAAGCGTCTGATCTGCAGGTGCGTTGAAGAGAAGCATTATTATTTGACATGACTCACCACACAGGAAGCTTCATATTGTTTCCCCAACTTTGGACGCAGAAAAGCACTAAAAGATAAGAATAATGAATCAGATTACCGCTGCAGCTGGTTGATCTGCCCTACTTTTTTGCGCAAATGTGCATTTTCCAGGTAAAACCATTCACTCAGACTCGAAATCAGAGGTTTCTTTGCAGTGTTAAGCGGATAAATCCTCGCTTCTCCCCATTTACAAGACTGACAAACACCTGTTATCAATTACCAACCTGGTCTGTCTCCATAGGAAGGTCTGGATGGGAAACGGGACTCCCTTCCCGCACTCCGGCTCGTTCTCATCCAGGCTTTTCCTCTTCACCATTTTCCTGCGCCCCCTCCTCCACCACCTCCTGCCTGGCTGCCTGCCTCACTCCCCTTCTGGGCTGCTGGTTCCGAGCACCGGGACGCTGGTGGTTCTGCCCAGGTGGAGCAGCGAGCTCTTCCTCACGACATGATTGGATTCATCCTGCGTAAAATGGCTGCACGAGTCGATAGGGAGCAGCGAGGGAGAAGGAGGAGGGTTGTATGGATTGAGGAGGGGGGGGGGGTGAAGTAGTGATTTCAGCACCTTCGTCAGTGGACAGCGGCAGATGATCGGAGAGACGATTTATCAGCGGGGCGAGCTTAAAGACGCAGTGGCCAGATGTTCTTCAGTCAATAATAATAATAATATTATTATTATTATAATCCTGCTGAATCCATGAGCTGAATAATCTAATATCAACAGGTTGTTTAAAGCTCCAGGCGGTGAGCTAGTCAACAAGTCAACAAAGCAAAGCAATGTTAATAAAACACTCAAGTAGGAGAATGGTACCCAAATCTATGTAGATATCGAGAGAAGGTAAAATAATGACAACAGAGTATATTTAAGCTATTATATGATGGAGTGTAGGGGCGCAGCAATGATGCTCCCAAGGGGTGGCCAAGACCCTAGCGCCCCCCCCCCTCCAAAAAAAATAAAACCTGTTAATTATTTTTACTCTGTACATTAGTAGGCCAGTGATGAATGAATACATTCAAAATGGTAAAAAGAAAAAAGTGTTTTGACTATTTTTCAATATGATCACATGAGCGACGGTGGCAGATGAGTCAGATGGCTGCCCCATAAACAGAGGGTTGTAGGTTTGCTCCCCACTCAGTCTGTCGTGGTCGTTGTGTCAATGAGCAAGACACTTCACCCTCCGTCTCTGCTGATGGTGGTTGGAAGGTCTGGTGGAGCCTGTATTTGGCAGCCGTGCTTGTGTCAGTGTCCCAGGGCAGTTGTGGCTACAATTTGAGCTGAGGAAAATAATCGTTCAATGAATCGAGATGCAGACTTGAATGATTATGAATCCCTGAAGAAGCACAATCAATTATTGCGTAAGTTTGTTTTTTAAACCACAGCATAAATATTTAATTCTAGAGTGGCTTTAGAGACATTAAAAGCTAATATATGTATTTGTTATTTAATGGAAGGCAGTAGTTGAACATGTTTTATAGGTTTTAATTATTTAAAAATATGTTGTTAGCGCCTGCATGTTTTCTTTTCCACAGCCTGAGATGTGACTGTTGAATGAGGACTTTTCTTTTTGACTAAATCTTCTTAAAGACATATAGGCAGGTTTTTCACATTTCTAAATCATTTTATTGAGCCAGCATGTGCTAAAATGACCCTTTGGTTAATGAAGGTCTCCACCGCATCCTGTGACCCCATTATCACACTTGCAACTTCAGAGTGGCGGACTGCCACCTTGTTTAGAGAAAATGAAGTGGACACTCCTGGCACTGCAATCTGCTTCCAACATGCTTCCTACAAGTTTTAGATCTTGAGCACACCGGGTTTGTTTAATTTGGTGCTTAACCACTCCTGTAGACACAAAGGAAGGGTGGGGAGACATTACAGCATAGAGATTAGGTGTTAAAAAGACAAACGCACAGCGAGGATGTACGTTTCACTTTATGGTTCCACTAAACGAACACTAGGGGGTGCTAAAAGCAAGCCAAAGCTGCCTGGTCTCTCTTTAAAAGTTTAAAATGTTTTGCACTTTTACATTGTCATTGGGGCTAATGGTTATGATTTTTGGGAGACGGCGTGTTGTGTCAGACATGCTTTGATAAAAAAGACAAATATCTGACAGCTTCTATTTATCGATGAAAACAAAAGCATTTGAAATAATCGTGGTGCATTGCAAAGTCTGCCGAAATTGTTGGCATGATAACCGTAAATGAGTCAAACTGTGACACTAGTGAAGATTCACAACTTTAGCTTTTCACCAGTGTGATTGTGTGAATAACTGTTGTGTCGTAAAGTGCCTTTGGGGGTTGTAGGTCTTCAAAAGGTGCAATTTAAATAAAGGTAATTTACCCATATGCAATGTCATCTAACCCTGTTTGACCTGATTGAGTGAGGTACTTGAGAAAGCCGATAACGTTCATAAAAACGAAATAAAATAAACAGAAATGAGTCTGTCTTTATTTTCTTTATTGATGCTGTCATCATCCTGTAAGAGCATTTGTCATCAGAACGTCTCGAATATTGGAAATAGTGCACACACATCTACATGGTCTGTTTTAAATACACTTACACGAGCGGGGGAGGGTGGGTGGTTGGAAAAGAAGAAGCACAGGAAAACATCAGTCAGGACGGGAAAAGGGGGTTCCACAATCGGAAGCATTTTCTTTTGATTGATCCTTTTTAATTGAATTATAAGATCTGCTAGTAGTAGAAAAAAAATCTTTCATTCTTTGTCACTTTTGCTTCTGGCGCCGGTCAAAACCGGCCAATCACAACACAGCTTCTCCGTCACACTGGAATGTTTTCATATAAAGCTTCATACTTCTTACATTTAATTCTAACAGACGTCAGACCCTTTAGTTACTCAAACACACTGTACACTCCAGTCTTAGCAAAATGATAGAAATCACAGGGCTTCTCAGAACGTCACCTTAAGCACGTGAACGCATCCCAGCCATTTACACTCACACTGAAAACTTTAAGACAGTAGATCTAACGTAATCATCATTATTTTGCCACGCCAGCATAACAGCGTTGTGTACCCTCGTAAAGCTACGGCAATAACGACAAAACCCAGAGCTAACAGTAGGTCTGTTCGCAGAAAAGAAACAAAAAATAATCTATTGGAAAGCTAGCTGTTTAGCGCTCGACATTTTTACATTAACTGCAATGGTTATTATAAATGCTAACAAGCCAGAGCAGCCACGGGGAAGGTACAAATCTGTAACACTACGGTAACATTTATATAAAAAGGAAACATAGCAAGAAAACACAATTTAAAACATTGAAGTCCAACAAAGACAGAACAAATCTTAGCAGACATGCCCGTTCGTTTACGTCTTTCCTTAAAATCTTTCGTACATCTGTATCTTTTAAGACAATTAGCTAGAATCGCTTCAGTACCACGAGTGGCCGTGAAGGAGTTCCTTTTAAGACAATTAGCTAGAATCGCTTCAGTACCACGAGTGGCCGTGAAGGAGTTCACCTCCGAGTGTGAACCACAAGTGGATTGTTCACACACATTAAACCATTGTACAATCATTGAAATGCATTCTTAGACAATCACAGCCACACAAACCTTCAGGCTAGCAATAAAAACAGAGTATTTGAGTGAAGGAATGAAATAACAAAACTGTTTCCCTTTTTTTGTGAGGAGTGAAATATTTCGCAGTTTTTTTAAACTTGAACAAGACGGTTCATCAACTACAGCTGTAGGGGTCACTTGTGTTCAACTGAAGGGTCATGAGGAATTCACCGGATGCTTCATAGCGAGTGGCGAAGGTAGGGGGAGAAGAGTGGTGGTGTGATTCTTTTTTTTTTTCTGTACTAGCAGCTCATAAGCCCTGCTTGGCCAGGGCGGCGGTGACGTCCTGCGCCAGCGTGGACAGCTGAGGCGAATCCATCATGTTCATGCCGTCGGCAGAGGACAGGCGAGGAGAGGTGCCCCCGGTCTCAACGCCCGGGGAGTGGGTGACTATGATTTCTGCACCGTGATCCACGCGCGCTTTGGCCGTTTCACGGAAACTCAGCTTATGGCTCTCGATCTGATGAATATGAATAAACAATTTTATTTATTAAAGAGTCAGGCAGATTCATCTGAACTTTCAAAAATGTTTCATCACCATGATATTCCCTCCTCCGGGAGTGTGGCTGGCATTATCCATGGAGCCGACCTTAGCGTGGGCCTTGTCTTTGAAATCCAGCTTCACATTCTCAATACGCACATTACCCCCCCCTGGGAACACAACAGCAAAAGGAAGTTAAAAAAAACCCAGAGCATTATCACTGGCAGGCCTGGACTACTCCTAGGCGTTATTAACGAGCCCCCGCACCGTGAGAACAAACACACACACACATATATAAATATATATATATCAGACGTCAAGCTAAACAGACAGGGTTAAAAAATATGGTCGACCTTCTTCCCCATCACTTTCATTTTTTAAGTAGTAATTAATAAACATTCCATACCATTACAATTTCCTTTGATTTATTTTTAAATAAATATTTTAAATAAATATTTAGAGTGCCCAGGTAGCACATAAACAATGAAATTGAACGGTTTTCTTAAAGCAGGAATGTTTAACCTGTGGCCAGAGCTCTCTCCTTCCTTCTGCTCTGCGTAAACCTGAACTGGTCACCTACTTGTGCGTAATCAAATGTCTGTAGGGGAAAAGATGGAAAAGATATAGCCATGAGGTTCACTTTTGACTCAGACTGACTTATTGCTGTTTTATGGTGTGGCTGAATCTGCGATCCGCTGCCAAGCGGACTGGATGCTGCAGTAACAAGAGTTGTAGACAGGTTCATGAGGAGTCACTGGCTGGAGCGGACTCAAATTTAATACGTCATCCCAAAATAGAAGCTAATATCTTAATTTGACCTTGAATGAAAAATGTTGTTATAAAACCTCTTAAAAGTTTTTATCACAGAGGGAGGCAGCGCTTATTTCTGCCTTCAGTCTGACGGTGCAGCGCAGCGCAACGCCGCACAGCGTGTGCTTATTGAATCTGTGTGTGTGTGTGTGTGTGTGCGGCACAGCTCCATGAGCCACTCCAGTCACCGCGTCTCGTTATTGGCGCTATTTAAACCAATGTTGTAAAATTACTTCTGCCCAGCCCAGATGTGCTCACATGTGCACCCCGTGAGCCGTGGTTCCGCTGGAACGCGTCTGACCTCTGACAGACGCACTCTGAACTTCAGATCTTCAGCACGCTGTTATAGCCTGACACGTTTAGAATGCTGTCCCACAGTCATTGTGCTAATATAATAATATAATAATGCTAAAATGCTCAGATGGGAATCATTTCTTGATTTATTTAGTTACATCCACAATGTTCTGTGTGTGAGGTTTACAATGTCAGAACACCTGCATGAGACAGGGTGTTAATTACAATCTGCCAGAACGACTCGCCACCTTCAGATTTCTCCAACATCGTTAAAAATGATCAAATATGGGACATATCTTGCTGTTGACAGCGTGCGCAGGACAGAGCGCTGAAGCTCGGAGCGCATTATTATTATGACGCTAGGGCACATGCGGAGGACACACACACAAGCAAAATATACTTGTTTTCAATTACATTTATTGGGCCCACTTACTTTTTCTTAGGCCCACCCACAAATGAGTTTCTGCCTACGCTAATGGTGACATATGACAGACTTCTCTGAGCTCCACAGCCATTACACTTTTCACCTCGCGCACCCGGGAATCCCTGTGTTAGGAGATCGTTTTGGGCCGCTGGTGTAAAAAAAAGTGAAACACGAACTGGAAAAGCTTCTGCCGATCACAATTTGACAACAGATTGTGAAAGAATGGTGTAATGTCCAGAAAGGGTCATTTTTCATCTACAGTTTGACCTCTTCAGTATCCGGCCATCTGCAGACATAATTCTGCGTCTGTGTGCATGTTGACATCTCGGGGTCAAGACATTGTCAATATGCTCCCTTCCCAAGGTTCTTCTCTGTCAAACTGCTGCTATCTAGTCTTTTCTTCACAGAATAAAGAATGAACTTTTATAATAATGAACCGTTAAAATAATGAAGTGTTAAAATAATGATGAAATGAAATGAACAATATGATTAAATCAAATACTTAAATAATGATATAATGAATGGAAAAGGTGTTAAATGAAATGTTTTGATTAATCTGTGCCTAAATTAATACGGCTGAAATTAATGTGTCCTTGCAATGTCCATTTGTCTGATAATCAGCATATGTGACTTGAAAAGTTCACACACTCATACACACGTGCATATCACAAGGCTAAAGTTAACGTCACTGCACATAAGGTTTTCTTATCCACAAATCAAAGCATCTTTTATCTGAAGGAGTGTTCTGAGGTTTGCTTGGTAAAACTCTCTGATTTGCCATAAAATCATAACATAGGAATAATAAAAGTTAGATCACTTCCCGAGTTATTCAGTTCGTTGAAGTTCATCAAGCCGAGTTGAGTTTGTTACCAGTTGAGATTCCGGAGTGGCCAATCTGCAATAAGCCTCTTTGAAACCTCTGACATACACTCAAAACCTTTTTGCACACTGCAAAGCTGACAGCTTCGACTCCATAAGAGTCCAACTGTTTTAGATGCAAAACGAGTCCACCTGTTTGTTGTGACCTGGAAATGACTCAGGGCCGACCTGGTCGTACAGCTGTTTTTCTACGAACTTCGGTACCTTGGGGTCACTAGACCCCCCGACATCTCGGATCCGTAAGAAAGTCTTCTCATGGGTACGTAGACACAGCAAGATTGTGGCTGATGTGGTTTTATAAATAACCAACTTTTTAGTTATAGCAGACCAGATTCTTTACACCCAGAAGTCAGTTTCTTTCAGATACAAAGGTTCTGATCACCCATCACCACATTCCATTCACACATCAGAATTCATAGCTTGTCATGTTTATAATTAGTCTAGAAAATAAAGTTTATTTTAACTATGTACCTGACTCTGTCTGAATAAATACGAAGTGTGTTTATGGTCACTGAATGAGCAAAGAATCTTAAATTCTTCTGGTTAAACATTCAAAGATCAATCAGGTTGATACTCTATATTTATATAGAATCATCACATCTTAGTGATCATAATTCAAACCCCAAAATACATCTGTAGAGTAACACTACAAAGGATAACGCTCGAAATTCTCAGATTTTTCCTGATGTAAGCGGTGAGTCTACTCTTTGTTTTGGTAGTTTTGGCGTCAACATCATCATAGAGTGCAACGTTCTGTGACTCTTAAAAAAAAAAAAACGCTGAAAAACGCTGGCAGCGAAGGGCTTTTCTGATCAGGAAATGGCTGGCAGTGAATGAGCTAATAAACAAAAGGTCCCTTTATTAATGTTCCCAACATTGTTAACTATTAAGTGTTCTTAAGGTTAGAACAAAGGCTAGTTAATAGTTAATTAATGTTTAATAATGCACTAAGTAATGTTATTAAAGGGACCCTTATTGTAAAGTGCGTATTTATTTATAATTATGGTGATGTAGTGCCTAATACAGGTGTAAATCACTAGTTTGATCACGATATGATATTATATCGATACAGATTACTGCGACTCAGTGATTGACGACATCTCAACTTCAGCCATAAAATCAATGTGATTTGATTCGATTTGCACAGCCAATTCTGCGTGCTCAAAACACTAGTGTTAAGATAGTGACCCTTACACGGTTGTTAAATATTTAACTCTAGAGGAGTTGATTTTTTACACTAAATCAGAGTTAAAGTACCAACTCACCAAAAAGGGTTCAATTAATTATTCGTGGTGTTAAATTGGACCAACACCAGAAAATTAACACTCTTGAATTTGATGTGTAGGATTCGCTGATCGATGCGAAACGATGTTACATGATTGAACATAAACATTTCCCAGGGAAGAGACGATTTCTTCACTAACTGTTTCCTCCAGGGTATCTGCAGGTTTACGGGAGCCAAATGTAAGACTTTTTAAGACCTTTTTTAAGGCCACTTTGACCAAATTTAAGCTATTTTAAAAATTAAATTTAAGCGATAATTTCCAGCTATTGCCTGGAACCGGTGCTAACCACGTCGCGAACGTGGGATTAGCCATCCAGTTACCATTAAACTTGCCCTTCCCCATGGCGCAAGCTCCCACTAGCTTAACCAGCTAATGTGCTCATCTAAAAATAGCCCCCTTTCACAACCAACTGACTGCGTACGGTTCCGCTTATGCCAACGTCATACACAAAAAATGCTGAACACTAACTAGAAATTCACGAAATTTTTATAGAAATAAAATAATCTTGTTTATTGGGTTTTTGGTAATTTAAGACCTCTGGAAACTGGATTTAAGGATTATTTGTCATTTTTAAGGACTTTTAAGGCCTTGAATTAGGAAACGCTAATATAAGACTTTTTAAGACTTTTTAAGGACCCGCGGATACCGTGTCCTCACTGCTCACCATGATGCCACAAGCTTCCTTATTAATCACTTTGGTGACGTGCAGGAACAAGTGGAAAATAGCATTAACTTCAAAATAAAGCAATTTTCAAAATAAAAGGGCATTTGATTTTTGCATTTTGGATTGATGGCCAAAAAATCAATGAATCAATGTTGCTTATATAATCAGTGTATCAACTTCTCAGACTGGGACGTTACTCGAGGTGAATCGTAAGCAGGACAATGTTCTAGCTGCGATACCGGTATTAGTGCGCAAAATGGATGTCATCTCGGAGAGAGTCACCGGACGGTATGGACAAGCTTAAAACCCAAAATTGGCTTCAATGAAGGACTGGAATGATCAGTTTAAAGACTGAAGGCAGAGAGGAAAATTATCTCAGCCTGACCCAAACAAATTCTTGTTATCTGAATCTGACGCCCTGGTAGCCTTGAGCTGCAAGCAACTAAAACCCCCACGAAGGAATGCAGACAGATGCTGTGAAAACCCAACCTCGGACAGGAAGCTGTGTACAGAGAGCTGGTGGAGCGCTTTGTGGCATGGTGTGGAAACAATCATCCGACCTCGAACGTGAAGAAAACAAAGGAGATGATTTTAGACTTCAGAAGAAATGGGTGGAGTCAAACACAGTCTCCATCATGGGAGAAGAAGTGGAGGTGGTTGAGGAATACAAATACCTTGGAGTTCACCTGGACAACAGACTGGACTGGAGAAAGAACAGCGAAGCCGTTTACAAGAAGGGACACAGTAGACCGCACTTCTTGAGGGGCGCTTAGGTCCTTCAATGTCTGTAGCAAGATGCTGCAGATCTTCTACAAGTCTGTTGTTGAGAGTGTAATCTCTTCAGCCATCGTATTTTGGGGTAGCAGCATCAGAAGCAGGGACCTGAAAAGGCTCAACAGCCTAATAAAAAAGGCTGGTTCTGTTCTGGGGACGACTGTGGAACCACTGGAGGAGATAATCCAAAGAAGGATTCTCCAGAGAATCAAGAAAATGATGGACAACCCTGAGCATTCTCTTCACAAGACTGTCCGACAACGGAAGAGTGTCTTCAGTCAGAGGCTTCTTCAGTTTCGCTGCAACACTGACTGCTACTGGATATCCTTCCTGCCAACAGCCATTGTAATATACAATAACTCTTTGACAACTTGATTATTATTATTATTCAATTTCCCTCTGGGATTAATAAAGTATTTTTGAATTGAATTGAATTTCACCAAATTATTCATTAAAGTTAAATAGAAGAAATTGATATTTTACTAAACGATGACATGTTTTGAGGAACAATGACACATTTAATGTTCTTGACTGTTCTTCACACTTCAGATCAGACGCCGTTGCTTCTCACCATCCTGACAAACTCCTAGCATGTTAGTCAAGAACGCCGCTTTGATGGTCGTCCAGATTTAATTTATTGTGATCACTGGCTTGTTGGACCAGTGTTCTCTGTCCCTGATGACTCAGTTGTTTCTCAGATGAAAAATAAATGAGCTGTTAAACACCTGAGTCCACAGGCCAAAAATAAAAATGGCTTCAAGCTTTGAGTTTATTCAGTTTGATGTTTTGTTTCTGCTTAGCCAAACTTCTAAATGACTCTTGAGCTCTGACAAAAATACCCAGTTAAACTAAAAAAAGGCTTCAATTTATTTCAGGATTATTTGAAGTTAATTCTAAATTAAAATCTAAAAATTAGACTTTTATTTATTTATGTTTTTTTTTTTTTTTTTACTATGAGTATCCGTTACCTGGTCTGTGGTGAATGTTGGACATGGAGCCACATTTGGAGGTGATATGGCTCAAGTCAACCTTCTTGGTCTGGATGTGAACCTGTGTGATGCAAAAATAGATGATAAATTCCACCTTAAAAACACACACTTAAGGATTCAGGCAAAGATGCAAGCTACAAATGACGAAAGACGTGAGTTAATGAATTACAGAAAACAATTTGCACACTTCAACAATGGAACCACAGACTTCATATACGTAGACACATCACGGACTGGCACTGCCTATTGGAGCTGGTGCAGCTGTGGGCCGCCATCTTGGATGGGTTTCCATTTGCCCCTGGTGCATTTATTTTTACTCAAGAAGGTGTTTACTAGGGCTGGGCGATATGACGATTTTAGACCGTTTAACGATCTACACATCTGACGGTCTGTCATTTTTGAGAGACCGTTTTATCACGATTCACAGCTCTGCTGTTGAATTTCTGCCTCTGAATGAGAAGGGAACTCACCTCAGGCGAATGACACGCCTTTGTTTGACCCTTAACCAATCAGAGTGAGTCATAGTAATATATTAGTGCCCGCTTGTTTTCACCTGTGTGTGAACAAACATGGCTTCGGTCGCGGCTGAGCGACAACAAGGTTTTCGTTCCGAAGAGGAACGCAGGGTTTCCTTAGCGCGCGGCGCTAACAACTTAGCGACGTGACATGTCTCGGAGAAAGCATAAAAACACGTTGGACGCTTCTTCTGAAGCAGGAAAATAACACTTCTTCTTAAGCAGAGCACGACGCCGCCTCGGCTCGTCCACCCTCTGCCGAGCCGGTGTCGGTACCGGACTGAGCTCGGTCACGGAGTCGTTGGAGCTGCCCCGTGACTGCCTGATGGAAAACCAGCGGGTTTCATCAGACTCGTAGTTTCTTGTTTTTGGTGGGGACCCCCTGTATTTTACCGCTCCCTCCTGCAGTCTTCCCCTATTACAATTTAAAATGATTCTGTAAACTCCGTGTATCAATAGAAACAATCTCTGCCTCTGCCAGCTGCAGTAAATGTAGTTTCCAAATAATAAGAGGTGCATTCATCTGTGTATCTCCTTTGATCCGCATTAGTGATATTTTCAGCACCAGAACAGTGAAGCAAAGAAAGATTCCTGAGTTTGTTAGTAATTTTATTTATTAGGTGCATCTAACCTGTTCTATTTTTCTCTGAAATGAGATCAAATCAGTGCTTCTATGGGTTGTCTCCAATCTGCACTGGAAAATTTTACTTTATTTAGAGACCTGTTGCAGAAAATATTCAGAATGCGCAGATTTTTGCTACCACAAGCGATCTCTGGTCCAGCCGCACATCAGAGCCGTATTTGAGCTTAACTATCCACTACATGAGCAACTGGGAGCTACATAGTATTTTGAACAAGTTAACGTTTGCACAATACGTTTGCAATTGACATGTTTGCACTTTAAATATGTTTACGATTTTAATTTATGTTAAGTTACTTGAAAAACGAGAAAAACTGATTTTTGTAATTGTTTCTCTCAGGGCTTTTATCATCTCTGGTGTGAGTTTAAAATATAAGTGTGTTAGCACTGTGCTGATTATCCCTAATATGAATAAATGTTTATTTATTTAATGTTTCTCTTCTTTAATACACAATTGAAGTTATGCTATTCATGGATAAAAAATCGTGATAAAATCGAAATCGTGATAAAATATTGGAAAATTCGTGATATTCTATTTTTGCCATATCGCCCAGCCCTAGTGTTTACCCAACTATAAAACACATTTTTTCAAGCTTTTCCACAAAATCAGACACATGGTATGGCATGATAATAAAAATATAAATCTAATAAAATAAATTAAAAAACAAAATCCCAACAAGTAGGCTAGAAAAGTCAATAGTAATCCCACGTGATCTGCTTTTAATAGTGTGCCAGTTGTTGCAACCATAGGCTGCACAAAAGTGGAGTGATCACTCAGCTAAGTTCGGGGAGTGAGGAAACCCACCCAATATGGCGACACTCCAATACACAATGGCGTGCCTATGCACTGATGTCTATGAATGGAACAACACAACATGGATCTGAGCAGAGTCATATGATGTTCTGAAGAGGAAACGTGAAGGAAACAGATGCTTCAGTTATAATTCTTCCTTCATGGGTGAGATAAAGGTGTAACACTGTTAGCAAGCTAAACAGATCGACTAAGCAGAGATTCTGGAAAACGTAGACAGAGTTGGAAAAAACAAAACACATCTACAAACGATGGACATGCCCAAATGACATATGACAGAACGTGGAAACAAAGGTTTTAGGGGTGATCAATGTTCTGCAGAGTCACTCACGTTTCCCCCACCAGCTGTGTGGTGGACTTTATCCATGGAGCCACATTTAGCCTGAACGTGGCTAAAGTCCAGCTTTACACTTGGGATCATGACCTGGGGAAGGACAGTGGTTTTTCTTTTCAATACAAATATAAACATGTCTTCTCACCCACGAACAAAACAAACAAAAACTCCAGTGAAAGTGTCCCTGTTTGATATTTTTACTGTTTAGGTGAAACTAACCAGACCCAGAGTGTGTTTCATAGACAAACAGATGGACACATACAGTAGCATGACAGCGTGCCAAAGCTCATGAGCCAAAGAGAAAGAAAGAAAGAAAGAAAGAAAGAAAGAAAGAAAGAAAGAAAGAAAGAAAGAAAGAAAGAAAGAAAGAAAGAAAGAAAGAAAGAAAGAAAGAAAGAAAACAGAAGCCAGTACATACATTGCCTCCTTTAGGCGCATGCTTCAGATTATCCTTGGAGCCGCATTTTGACTGAACATGACTGAAGTCCAGCTTCTCACTTAAAATCTGAACCTAAAATCAAATCGGAATAATAAACAAAAAAAAAAGAAACTACATGCGCCTTATTTGTATAAGTGTGTGCAGTTAAATGTGCATATTTCCTCATACACTAATTTAGCCTTTATTTATACAATAAACACACGGCAAACAATGATTTCTAAGAAAGTTATAAAAACACATTTTTAGACTTTTTAGTCTAAAAAGAAAATAAATTATTTCTAGAAAATATTATTTAAAATAAGGTAAATATTGTTAAATATGATATAAATGTTCTTGTTTTGGGAAACAACATCTGCCAATGGGGTAAACAAAAGTCGTTTGACTATAAATCTTATATTAATAATTTAATGATTATTAGATTATTTTGCTAGTTTTACAATTTCTAGCCAAGCAACTTTGCTTATACCCATTGGCAAATAGTTTTTTACTCAAAACAACAACAACAAAAAATAATAAATTGTATCATATTTAAAGAGATAATGTGTAGTTTTTACTGTTAATCTCTGGAAATATTCATCAAAATTAAATGATGCCCAGTTTTAAAAAAATATTGGCGGCTTCGTAACATATAACTGTAAAAATCGGGTCTAAAATACATGGGAGCGGGCCTAAGTCACTGGGTGACGCCATGTTTCCTTCTACAGAAGCCTGTGAGGACAAAACAAATTTACTTGTAAACGTTGTTGTTTTAGACATTTACCTCTTCACTCATTGCCTGTGATGAAAGGGAGTCTGGCGTTCTTGTCATTTTGCTGGACGCTGTGCTCCCAGGGATTTTTAAAGTTAAAGTCCCAAAGTCATCACACACTGGTGAAATTCATCTCTGCATTTGACCCATCCCCATGCAGTGGTAGCTGCACTCGGGAACTAATTGGTGGTTTAATCTCCCAATCCAACCACTTAAAGCAGAGTGGGTCCCATTGGATCGGAGTGGGTCCCATCAGCTTTAGCATTGGGTCCCATTTTTAAAGTCTTTGGTATGACCCGACTGGGAATCGAACCCCGATCACCCAGTCGCGGACACTCTACCACTAGGCCATTGAGCTGGTTTGACTTTAAAACCCTTTGCCTGCCTGCTCAACCAACTGGCAGAGCATCTCTAAAGTCCCTAAAACACACTGAAGCAATAAATGACCTTAACAAGAAAAAAAAATAGTAAAACAAGAAAAATCTTAAAATTTTGGAGTTTGTTTGAGGAAAAGGCGTAACATTATTTTACCTTAATATTATTACTAGGGCCAGGACTTTAACGCGTTAATTATGATTAATTAATTAGAAAAAAAAGACGCATCAAAAATTAATGCATTTAATCACAGCTTGCATTTCGAGCAAGGCGGAACCTTTGTCATTGCACGGTTTCCTCATAGACCGAATATCATTGACACACACAACAATGCACAGTGCTAATGGCTACTAAAATGGAATAAAACAGAAAGAAGTTCCCTTGCTTGGACTGATGCAGGATTTAGGAAACCCGTCCGCCTCTTTTCTAGGTAAAAAAAAAACACCCAGACAACAACGGAGTCCGTGTCACGGACATTTTTCAGAGATTGTCTCTGCTACAGCTGCCCGGTGGCACCGGAAACTTTACAAAAGTTGCGGTAAGCTATATTTTTAGCATTTACGTAACATCTGTGCAGCGCTGAAAGCACCAGACAGGATAATTCTTTGCCCTAACAGTAGTTTATGAAAGTAGTCAGACAAACGAGAGGAACCTGGCTGCCACTGGGAGAACACTCTGTGTTCTCACTACTCTGTAAACAATCACAAACAACATGTCTTAAAGTTGAAAACAGAAGTTTAAGTTAAAACAGAAACACTCTAAAAATAAGATTAATTTAGATTTATTAATTACAAAGCCTCTAATTAATTAGATTAAAATTTTTAATCGAGTCACGGCCCTAATTATTACAATTAGATTATTATTAATATTATTAATTTACATTAAACTAAAGCCCTTACTGCCCCACAACAAAAAATGTGGGGCAGTAAGGGCTTATTTCTTGGTGAGAAAGTTAAAGGGCTAATGGCCATCTGTTGCTCAGGTCTTACTCGAAACAAAATTACTGCTTGCTTACAATGATTTACTGTAAGTATGTACTGCCCCCATCACCAGGGCAAAAACACATAATCACTAACAATATTTACCTTATTTTAAGTGATGACATTTTTATTTTTAGACTAAAAATAAGATAACATGTCTAAAAAAAAGAAAAAAACTTTCGTAACAATCATTTTTTGCAGTGCGTTTTTTTTGTTTTGTTTCTGCTTTCTTTTTTGGTCAACAGTCACATAATAAACGAATGAAACGTATGACACATTTTTCACTCAACTGTGACTATTTTGTCTGCTTCTGTACATACTGTTTTGTTGCTTTAAAGGTGCAAATAATTAAATAAATATTTCCTAAAGCAACATAAAGGAGAAACCACAGGAAAAGAAAAGGGGACTCTGGGAAAGAACAGCTGGTAAAGTTACAATAAAGGACACTATTTGAATAAGACTCACATGCTATCAAACAGCCTAAAGGCAAAGATAGACTCAAAACATCACCTTCTTTAAGGAATTCATTTTACACTTTAGCGTGAACTGTCCCTACGGTAGGGCCTGCACGACTTTATTTTTTTTTAAAGTCGACAGTCAAGTAATGAAAGTCGAGTCGACTTCGACTAGTCGTTGATGACGTCATACGCCGGAAGCGGCGGCGGCGGGGGGTGGGGGGTGGGGGGGGGGGGCGGTAGGTTCGCTGGAGTTTTTGACAATTAAAATTGCGCCCACATTTTCAAAGTTGAACACATTTCTTTTAACAACGGTAGTTTCTGCTTCAGCCCTCTCCCCCTGCGCAGCAGCCGCAAACTCACTGATGCGCCTGCAGCCTCTCGGAGTTCCTGCTGCTCTAAACATTAAAATAATTATTTCATTTTCTGTTCCTCACTTCTGATTACCTTCAATGGTGTCTGTTTGTTGCAACCAGCAGGTACAAAAACTAACTTGTTTTTATTTGACTATTTTTCTGTCCTGCCTGTTTATTATCTTCCTGCATTTCCTCTCAATCCCTAAAGAAAAACTGCTACCTGGGTTCATATATATTCACCTTATGAGTTACCTTTGAACTGCAGTTCTAAAAGATCTACCGACCACAAAAACAGCGGAGTGCCGCTGCTCGCCGGCTGACTACAACGGGACCGTTTTTGCTGCGGAGTTCATGCCGGAGCGGAGCGGAGTGGAGATAGTGGAATCTTGGGGGTGCGTCACCGGAGGTCAACAGCTGATGCGCCTCGCTCCGCAGCAACAAAGCGCATCAGGCACAAATAACAGACAGAAAACATGAAAGGAAATGAGCCGACATGAACGATCGCGTGTTTAATTTGTTTTAGAGGTGGTGACACCTGATTTGGCGGTGCTCAGGACGCAATGTCTGGAGCGCACGTCAACAATCAGAGCTTTGCATGCGCAAACTGGTTAAGATTAGGATGGGGGTGAGGGGAAGGTTAAATTGCAAGAGGGAAAACGTCACAGTTTGGTTAAATGTCCGTTTTACCGCCGGTGTCAGTACCGCACAGCGCGTCGCCTCCGCCTCGATCCAGACGCGCAGGGGCTCATCACCTGCTGTCTTTTCTGAGGACTGCATCTTGTCAGTCATTATCACGTGACAGCGACTAGTTGATGACAGGCATAAAAAGTCACTACAGAGCCGTGAAGTCGACTAGTCGACTAGTCGACTAGTTCGTACAACCCCTACCCTACGGTAGTTTTTAATCACACCAAACAGGGTCAAAAGCTACAATAAGAGGTCTTTTTTATATTTGCATTTGCTATATTATAAATACTCAATGCTGGAGAAAGAAAAACTGAACAAAAGCTCTTATAGGAAACCGATTCAGCAATTTAGAGCCAATGAGAATTTTGAAGGTTATTTTTAGACAGATGACTGTTTTGAGTTGTTATATTTAGAAGTACATTCCCAGTATAGTCTATCCTCCTCCGCTGAGGTGGAAACATAGGAATAGAAATAAGGAGAAGGAAGATGGAGGGACAGGGAAAGGGAAGAGGCTCGAGGCAGGACATGAAGCTTCATCTGGCCTGACGAAGATGGCAGCAAACACAGGAAACACACACAGCCACAGAATGCAGGAATACATATGATTGTGAGTGAGAGTGAGCACTTGAAGACAAATATCTCAGTATTCCAACATATTTCTACATAGCAATCCCAAACATTGTTTAAAAAATGCCCCAAATCTTGCACAAAATACATATAATTGTAGATAATGACATTAAAATATGAATGTTTATCCTCAAAGTGTTTAGATGGTTTTAAATCCATATAAACTGTACGAAAAACAATGTTCCTTTATCCTTTTTGAAGAAAATACTGTTGTTGAGGTGCATACTGTGGGTTTGTATGTTACTGTCCCCCTGTGGCAGGTTTAGGTACACACTCAATGATCACATGGTTAAGCACTTCTCTAATTGTTTAAAACTAATCAGTCAACACATTCAGGCATTTAGACGTGGTGAAGATGACTTCAAATTAGTTATTGCAAAGCTACAGGAAAGAGATTTAAGGAACTTTGGACTTGGCATGGGTTTTGGTCCGACTATTCCTGAAACTGCTTATTTTCTGGGATTTTCACCCACAACCATGTCTAGTCTTCTTATCATGGTTGTGCTGCAGTGATGCTATCATGTCATCATGGACCAGAACCCCTGTTCTACCCCAAATCTAAGTAGAAGAAACGGCCAACACAAGCCCTTTCCACAGATGTCCAACAGGACACCCTAGTGGTCCTAACGATACCTCTTACACACAAGCAGGGTTTAATAAATCCAGCATGTTTTAGCATGTTCCTTCTACCTGTCCTCCTTTTGGTTGATGTTTGATGTTGGCCGTGGACCCAATCTTGGACTTCACATTCTTCAGGTCAGGCAGGGGCTGGTTGAGGACCTTTAGCTGCCGCTGGATGGAGGACGGGGACTTGGGCGGAGTTCTGATCACCGCCACCTTCTTCTCCTGGAGGACGCTGAAGGATTTCGGGGTGTGGCTACCAGGGGTGCGAGATCCAGGGGTACGGCAAGAGTAGCTGGGGGGCGTGCCGGGTGTCACAGCTGAGCCTGGAGTGGAGGCGCCGCTACGGACTGACCTGGAACGGGTTGAGTCTGTGCCTTGGAAGAGAAACGAACATTAAAGAGAATGAAGATGGAAAATGTTTGTAATCAAGTTCAATTCTTGTGATGATGGATGGAAGGAGAAAGTTGTAGTTTTAATGCCATTCAGCTTGGGCCCATGACAATCAGTTAGAACAATTCATTAATTAGTAAGGAATAATTTTATTTTTGAGTTTTGAACCTGCAACCTTCTAGCTGCAAGACAACAGTGCTAACAACTGCATCACCATGCAGTCAATAGTCACATACCAAGTTGAACTCTAACCAAACACGTTTGTAACCATCAACAATCTTCTGTCGTACTTCTGGTTGACATTGGACCAACCTACTTGACAGAATTGGTAGTTTGTTGAAACTTTTTGGTTTCCTGGGAAAGACTTGTCATTGATAAACAAGTAGGGCCAATGGGAAGGTCATTACAGATGCCTCATGTTAGCTTTGTGTAAACTATTCCTGATGTTCAGCAACACTGTCCTCTCAGAACAACGTGTTCATTAGCTTGGCAAGCCATCATTCATAGACAGACAGAATAGATAGACAGAATAGATAGACAGATCGATCGATAGATCGATCGATAGATCGATAGATCGATAGATAGATAGATAGATAGATAAACAACATTAGGCAGGTGCATACATTTGGCCACTGTTGGAATTCTACATTGGTTTGGAAAGCTCAGTGACCCTTGACCTAGGTGAATCCAGTTATGAGAGAGTATTTAAGGGGGCCAATTGTAAATTTCCCTCCTCTTTGAATATTCTCTGAAGAGCAGCAACGCGGGGGTCTCAAAACAACTCTCACATGAGCTGAAAACAAAGATGGTTCTCCATCATGGTTTAGGAGAAGGATACAGAAAGTTGTTTCAGAGATTTCTGGTGTCTGTTTCCACAGTTAGGAACATACCGAGGAAATGGAAGACCACAGGCACAGTTCTAGTTAAGACTCAAAGTGGCAGAACAAGAAAAATCTCAGATAAACAGAAGTGAAGAATGGAGAACAATCAGAGTCAACCCACACACCAGCACCAAAGACCTACAAAATCATCTTGCTGCAGATGGAGTCACTGTCCATCATTCAACTATTCAGTCCACTTTACACAAGGAGATGCTGTATGTGAGAATGATGCAGAGGAAGCGTTTTCTCCTCCCACAGCACAAACAGAGCCGCTAAAGCACATCTGAACAGCTTCATTTGGAACAAGGTGCTGAGGACTGATGAAACTAAAACTGAGTTATTTGGGCGTAACAAGGGGAGTTATGCATGGAGGAAAAAGAGCACAGCATTCCAAGAAAAACACCTGCTACCTACAGTAAAGCATGGTGGTGGTCCCATCATGCTGTGGGCTGTGTGGCCAGTGCAGGGACTGGGAACCTTGTTAAAGTTGAGGGATGCATGGATTCCACTCAATATCAGCAGATTCTGCAGACCAATGTCGAGGAATCAGTGACAAAGCTGAAGCTGCAGCGGGGCTGGATCTTTCAACAAGACAACGACCCTAAACGCTGCTCAACATCTACGGCATTCATGCAGAGGAACAAGTAGAATGTTCTGGAATGACCATCTCAGTCCCCAGACCTGAATATTAGTGAATATCTGTGGTGCGAGTTAAAGAGAGCTGTCCATGCTGGAAGCCATCAAACCTGAATGAACTAATGTTTGAGAGCTACTGCTGCTATCCTCTGTCCTTGAGCTTTTACTTCAGCTACGGTCAGTCTAGATTTCTAGGCTAGTATCTGATGGTTTCAGGAGAAGAATTTGGAGGTGGTCCTCCTTCAGTCCACTTTATCCAACTGCAGTATGATGCTACCACCACTCGACAATTGGTTCAGTCCTCACCTTGACTCCTACAAACATATTTCTTCTCATTGTAGAAAAATATTTGTCTTGTCTGACCATAAAACGTTTCACCAGAAGAAATCTGTTAAGCTTATTTTTGGTGATGTAAAACTTTTCACTCTGGACACTCATTTTTAATAGTGGGCTAAAGCGCTAAACACCAGTCACCATTTTCTAGGTCCAAACATCTTCTGTTGTCCGTGACTTCAAACGGTGTTTTCTTTAGGGATTCTGGTAGTTTGTCCTAAAGTTGAACTGGTAGCAGCCGGCTGTTTCTCCTTCTCTGATATTACCGAGCGGAGAACCTCTCACACCAGTGGTGATCCGTTGCTACATGCACGAGCGCGTGAGAAGAGTACATGTGGTAAATGCGGAAGTGTTGTCTTGAACTTGTTAAGACCTTCTAGAAATATCAGATTTTTGGGGAATTCATGTCTTTATGAATAATTTTGACGTGTTTAATTCTTGTTTTTGAAAATAATTTAAGTTGTGTGTTAAGACAATCATTCCTCCTTAAAAATGGACACTCAATAACATTTGAGTCTACAATGAGTGGATGTAAACTTCTGACCTCGGCTGTATGTGCGGCTCAACTGTGATCGAATGAGCTCAAGTTTCAAATCTCAAACAGCCCAGACCAAACACGAATGTTTGACAATAAGTGAGAGCGCACACACGGCTCTGGCAGCTTGTTGCTGGGTTACTAAAGCAAGAACCAATAGGGTTTTAAATGCTGGATGAGAAACGCACCTGGTGTTTTTACACCAACCTGCTGTTTAGCTGCAAGAATCAGTTTATTAACACAAACTAGGGATGCACCGATACTGATACCAATGCAGCTGCCTGAAAGTGGCTTCACTGTAACTTGTAATTTCTGTTCACCTACGATTTTAGTTTTGTGATTATTTCTATTATTATATTTAATTTTTATCAGCCTTGCAGTCTTTTCCTGTTATTATTGAAAATAAAACTTGTATTCTAATTCACTGCATTTTTGGTGTGTGTTAGAAGTATCGTTGTTGGTAATCAGTACGGCGAGTACTCAGATCCAAGTATCAGTTTGGAAAAAAAGTGGTATCACTGCATCCCTAACACAAACCTTTCTTTCTGACTGGATGACTGAATCTGAGAATGTACACTTGATTCTAAAACCGGCAGCTTCTCCTGATGAAACAGCGGTTGACTTGATGCTGATGATGATAAGAGAGTGATGAGGCTAAGCTATCAGGTGGTCTACCTGCCATACTAGGGGCCCTTCCAGACCTGCTCTCCCTGGAGTCGGTTCGGATCGCTTCGAAAAGTAGGAGGGAAAAGAACAAGAAGGTTGAAGAGGAACGAGGGCAGGAGTTTAGACTTTATTCAGATGTAACGCAGTTATTAATAAACAAAAGTAGATTGTATCTTACAGGTTGGCCTAGAGGGGGTGCTGTTGTCTTCTTGTTCAGAAGCAGGAATGTGGCGAGTCAGCGACTTGGCCGGCCTGGGAAGGGATGACCTCTTCTCAGGGCTGCGGTACGTTCGCTCCTGAATCAACAAACAAGAGTCAGTATCTTCGTGGCAGCTAAAGCTACATCTCAGTTCCTTTTGCCCCTCGTTAATTTACCTTCCCCGCCACTTTGTTTGGCAGAGGGGACGGGAGGGAACATGCAGAGGAGGAGCGGGCTTCGTAAAGCTCCGCCTCCACGAGAGGGCTTTGTTTAAGGACACAGGCAAAGCCGGGCCGAGGGGATGGGTGATGGGACCCCCCGACGCGCTGCGCGGCCATCTTTAATAGAACAGCCCTTGTAGGGCTCTGGATGACCGATGGGATGAAGAGGTGATGGCAAAATGAAACAAGAAATGAAAATATTTCATGAAGAAACACAAACTATGCAAATGAGTCTTGAATTAGGGAAATAAAATGAAGAGGATTTTTGAAGTTTGGGTACAGCAAAGTCTGTACTCACAGATTTTCTCTGTCGCGTCTGAGATAAAGAGATGGAGTGCATGCAAAACAAAATGATGACACCAAGACAAAGAAAGAAAGAAAATACAAATATGGGCAAACATAATTCAAGGGTCAATATAATCATGCAAGGAAGTCAAAGAAAGAAATAGATGAGTTGAAAATTATGAAGACACTGCAAAACTTTATGTGTTCCATTAATGTAATATTTCCCTAAAATAAACCCACTCAAGCACACAACCAATTTCTCCTCCTTAACCTGTTTTTTTTTTTAACTTTTTTTAAAGACTGGACTAATTTTAATGACACTTCATGAGGTCAAAATAAAAAATATTTTTTTTACTTCAATCAAGGGAATTAAGTATGTTTGAGACGGTGCTGTTGTGATTTAATTGCCCCCAAAACACACATTTGACATTAGTTAAATTAGCCGAACAAGAAGACTTAAAAGTCTTTTTAAGAGGTTGTATACTTACAGTGGGCCTCTCTCTGGACACACTGAGCGGCTGATGGTGGTCCACACCTGAGAGGTAAAAAGAAGCATGTCAATATCAACCAGCAGGGGGAGACATGTACTGGAGTAACACATGCACATAAACAGAGTACACATAATGAATTGAGAAAGGAAGAAAGAAAAAAAATAGAAGGCCAAGAATTTGTTTCACAGTGTGCAAGAAGTTGAAATCCATAAAGATATACAGTTTCACGCCTTAAATATCAACAATTAGCAAAGAAAAGCAAAACTGAGCATAATAGAATATGAATGTGGGCAATTTTTTCACCAACAAGACCAAAATGACAGCAGCTGAGTTGAAAATGTACACGTTTTTAAAAATGGATTGGCAGCACGAGATGTTTGCCAGCTACAATGCACTTTTCTTGATTCCTCCATGAGCCAAAAACTAAAGAGAGATCAACAATTCAGAATTCAAATCCCATTTTTTCTAGAAATTTGCATCTATTTTAACAAACTGAGTTGTAGAGACACTGCAGAACTTTTAACAAAAATCACTGAGGATCTCTCTCTATTTGTGGCATTGATGCATGGTGAAAAGTGTTCACCTGTGGGCTTGCGTCTAACAGTGACGTGAAGCGGAGCAGGCCTAGGATGTTTGGCCGTCACTTTGGCTCCACTTTTTCGAGAAGGAGAGCGACTTTGGAGGGCTGACACCTTATTCTGGTCAGCCCTCCTCACACCTACTAGCAAAGGGAAGAGACAGGATTAGACAGACCTGTGCTCAACAAGTTTGCTCATGGAACAACAATGTTATCGAGTCCCTTTACGAAATATTGGAATAGTTCTTTGAATACAGAATCAGAACCTTTTTTCTTTATTTTCTCCTCCATTGGTGGATGGTGGATTGGAGTTTTGCATGACACTTTACAATCAGCAGTGCCAGGGTGACGCCGTCCTTTGGTAGGACCTCGTTTCGAAGGTCGCTCCACCACCAAAGACGGTTTAGTCTGGGTCAGAGGAAGGGCCTCGATTTGCTCAGTCATGATACTTTTATCCTCATCTGTATCAGAGAGGGTATAAAAAAGGACTGATTCTCTAAACTAGCAGGATGCTAGCTTTAGCCAAGACACATTTACTAGGATTTTACCAAAATACAGAAGTAATGTATATCAAAATTCTGGGTACCTTGTGAGTCCATCCAGCCACTGTCAGTATCTAGGATTGACACATCCATTGTAGTTTCATCAGCTGCCTTTTCCCCAATTAATTCATTTTCTTTCTTCTCTTCTGCTTCACCAGAGACTTCTTTCTTCACAGTCTTTGTTGGATCCATTACTTCTTCATTCTCTTCCATTCCTTCCACATTGCCTAACTCTATGCCTTCTTTTTTATCCTGGTCCATGTCTTCGGTTTCTAGTGCATCCTCTGAATGCTGCAGTAAATCATGGTCAGAACATGGAGACAAGTGAGAACTGTCTGTTGCAGGCTCTGCATCGTCACTGTTTAGAGCACTGTGACTCCATTCTTCTGCTCCGGATTTTGGATCATCTTCCATCATCTGATCTTCTACCATCAGCCTCACTTGACTCCTCTTCTGCTCTTCAGATCCAAGTTCTCCAACTGGATTATTTGTTTTTTCCAACTTAAGCTCTTCAGGCTCTTCCATCATCTCTTGAGGCTCTTCAGCTATCTCAATATCATCATCATCTTCTACTTGAGGTATTATGATGATTGGAGAAGATATTTGTGGGCTTGGTGAGTCTTTAGTCAGAGTCATTTCCTTTGACTGGACTTGGACATTCAGCGGCTTTTCTATGCTTAAATGCTGAGCAGTACTTGAGGTCTCTTGTGTTTCTGTTTCCTCTAATCTTGCAGGTGTCTCATGCTCACTTTTAATCATAAGGTCCTCCTTTTCTTCACTGCCATAGTGTAAAGTTTGAAATGACGTGCCTTTGTCGGTCATGTCTTGTTGATCACTCCTTTCTTCAGAAACTTCGACATCAGGATTAACCTTCTCTTTTTCTGTTTTGCTGTCAAGCCCATCAGACACTGAAATGGACTCTGTTGGTTCATCTTTTGTTACCCTCTCTTCAGAGCTTTGGTTTTCTAAAGATGTTTTAGCTGGGGACTTAGGAGTGGTAGGAGTCAGCGGCACTTTGCTTCCAGTTTCTGCTGTAGTAAATGTAAATGAGTTGTCTGGTGGGATGGGAGAGGCCTCTCTTGAGGGGTCTTTTTCAATTTCAACCTCAGGAATTGCTTGGATCTTTATGTCCCCAGGTAGGCCAGTTTCCAGACGAAGTTCAGTGAGTCTATCTTTCGAAGTCGTGATTGGGATCCGTAGACGATCAGGTTTTATCCCACTTGGCACAGCTCTTTCAAGATTCAGGGTAGACTTTACAGGTGATTCTTTCTTTTCCAACACCAATTCCTTTTGATTTTCTTGTTGAACATCTTTAACTTCCAAGACACCAAGATTCCCTTCTAAGTCACCCTTCAATGAGGGAAAATGTTGGCATGGACATTCCCCAGTACAAGGTGCATCAGCTGGAGAAGGCATTGGTGCTGAATATTCTTTGAACACACAGTAGCCAAGATCCTCCTCTGTCATGGCAAGTTTGTCCAATGAACTAACTACAAGCACATTAGCAGGTATCGACTTCCTCCTCATGTAGTCAACCTCCTGCTTCTGTAGTGATGGATGAGGTAAGACCCCGGCCAAGTCCAACATCTCACAGAGGCTTCCTGATTGTTCAAAACTTGATCTGTGCTGATCAGAAGGTGCTTCTGCTTTTGGGGCGATATCTTCTGGTGAAATAGTAGATGCTGGAGTATTCAACATTCCTGGAGGATAGCTAGGTGTTTGAATATCAACAAGTGGAGTCGAAGGAGAAACCTCTGATTCATCAAAGCTTCCACTAATAGGAAACAAGCCTTCGGTTAATGCCTTCGACTTGTCCACCTTCGCCGTCTGACCCACTGAAGTAATGTTCAAGGATATACTTCTTTGTTCCAATGACATTTTACCAGGTGTTGTCCTGAATGTCTTCTCCTCTCCACATTCTCCACTAAATGTTGTCTCTGGTGTTAAACTTAGTTCATAGTAGCTCTGTGATGGGTCTTCTTGGATTTTTGAGGTTGTCTCAAAATATGTTTTTATTCCAGAGCTGTGCTCTACAGATAAGGATTTCAAATCCACTGTTTCTTGACTCGGATCATCCTGTCCGTCCTTTCCTTTTGTTTCAACCAGTCCTGACTTGTCTTTGCCTTCCTTCAGAGCAGAATCCAGTTTACTTAGTAAGCCTACTCCTGTGTTTCCTTTTGCCTGAAGACTTAATATGTCTTGTGGTTGTAATGTTTCTTCATGTCCCTTTACTGTAGACTCCAAAAGCTTGACCCTTTCAGTGACTTCTGCTGGATTTCTTTCCTCTTCGTGAACTTGTTCAACCGAAGAAGCTTCAGGTACATTTTCCTCTTCTATGAGATGAAGGGCTGGTTCATTCAAATTGAGTTCTTCAGGTTTTGCTCTCTCAACAGCTGTCTGTTTTTCATCTAGTGGCATCTCTTCTTCTTTGACGTCTGACTCAATGGATGCCTCGCTCTCGTCTGGATGAGCTGTGAGTTTGAAGAAAACCGTACAACTGTGTACTGAGTCATTTTGGTTAAAAGCTTTTCTCGCAGCATCCACTATAAGCTAGCCCATACATATAGCTGAGGTTTTCAGCACATAGATACAGTAGATCTCCATCAAGCCAAACACATAGCACACTGTATTCTGTGGCAGGCCACAACAGCACAGGGCAAGTTCACAGCATCTATGCTAGCGTGCAGAACTGAAATGACGAAATGGAGTTGCATGACATTAAACCAGGGGTGGGGAACCCTGGTCCATCAAGGGCCGCTATCCAGCATATTTTAGTTTCAACCCTTCTTCAACACACCTGATTTAAATCAGCAGGTGATTAACAGGCTTCTGCAGAGCCTGATGAGCTGCAGAACTGGTGAATCAACCACTGAATCAGAAGTGTTGGAGCAAAGACGTGCAGGATACCGGCCCTCGAGGACCAGGGTTCCCCACTCCTGCATTAAATGACAAGAAGCAATGATACAGTTCACAGGTATATTGAATTCCTATTGTAATTCAGTAGATTTGACAAATATAGGAAAACTGAAACAGGAAAAATACTTTTATTTTTGTTGTTTTTTGTCAATTAAATAATAAAATGAAAAACAGTATAACGGTTTTATTAGTTTGATCATAAAAATCCAATACATGGGAATTTTAATGCCCAAAAAGCCAACTAAGCAACAATAGGAAAACATTTTTTCATCCTCCACCCCGGGATGAAATGATAACAAAACACGTGATTTACAATGGACCTAAACTACATTCAGCACTGATTTGTTAAGTGCCCAAGGAGAGACGAGCACCTTTAAACAAAAATAGTTAGGCAAAAGCCCACATAAAAATATACAGACTACCAATTCTGGTAACACATCTACAATAATGACGTCCGACAGTGACACTTGCATTTGCAATGTAGCTGGCAACACTGAAGTGCAGAAACGATCAACCATTATTTGGTTGATTATGTGCTCATAAAAAGCAAATGACTCATGTTTTGCATGAAACAAAAGCAACAAAATCAAAATGCTGTCACATGGTCTTGCACACGGCAGCTTTAAGTACTGAAGCAGCAGCTTAAAAAGTTCATAGCAACAAAGCAGCAAAAAGGTGGCCAGCAAAGCCTGAGCTGCATCACAATTTGAAAACAAAGAGCAGAGAGTTGTTGGAACCATCATGGAGCACAAGAGGCTCATGCAAACACATTCAGTCACACACACACTCTCATAGAGAAGCCCCCATTTTAACTGTAACCTTGACCACACACACCTTGATGACCTCCTCCATTGATGGCTTTAGGTGTCTGGACTTTGTGGATGCCCAAAGCCTGGGGCTCTCCTAAACAATCTGTCTGTTCTAAGTGCAAGACTCCTGGTTGCTCATGTGACACTTCCTCTTGGTTACTGCTGGGCTCCTCTGGAGCCTCCAGTTCTTCCTCCTCCTCATGCTGCTGCTGACTGACACCCTCTACCTTCTCCTCTTTGAGCAGGGACGGGAGACACAAAGATGAGACATGGATGATGACACAACTAGACTGACGTGGGTAGACATGACACCATGGGAGATGCACAGCATGCAATCAACAAAGTCTCTAACATGGCATAAAGATTTACTCATGTTCCTTCAACTTCCTCACCAGGACAAAAGCAACAAAAACACTCCACTTTTGCATTTTTTGATTGCAAGAAGGACTTTAGTTTAATGGAAATTATTAATATTAGTTATGTACCAATTGAACTAATATTAAGGTAATAATAATGTAATGTAAATTAGTTACGTCCTTTCTCCAAACAACTCCATATTCTTTAGAATGTTTTAGCTTTATTTTCTATTTTCTTTTAGATGAAGGATCAAAGAGCAGCCCAAAGACTCCTTATGAAGAAAAACATAAATGGAAATCATGCTCGCTTGCCCAGACGTGGGTCACCGGGGTCCCTCTCTGGAGCCAGGCCTGGAGGTGGGGTACATTGGCAAGCACCTGGTGGCCAGGCTTTCACCCATGGAGCTCGGCCGGGCACAGCCCAAAGAGGAAACTTGGGTCCCCCTTCCCATGGGCTCAGTGTGTGATGGGTGGTAGTCGATGGCGAGAACCTCTGCGGTCTGATCCTCGGCTACAGAAGCTGGCTCTTGGCACATGGAATGTCACCTCTCTGGTTGGGAAGGAGCCTGAGTTGGTGTGTGAGGTGGAGAGTTTCCGACTAGATATAGTCGGACTCACCTCAACACATGGCTCTGGCTCCAGAATCAGTTTCCTTGAGAGGGGTTGGACACACTACCACTCTGGAGTTGCTCCCACTGAGAGGCGCTGAGCAGGAGTGGGCATACAAGTTGCCCCCAATCTTCGTGCCTGTACGTTGGGGTTCACCCCGATGAAGGACAGGGTAGCCTCCCTCTGTCTATGTGTGGGGGGACGGGCCCTTACTCTGGTCTGTGCTTATGCACCAAACTGCAGCTTAGACTACCCACCCTTTTTGGAGACCTTGGAGGGGGGTACTGGAGAGCACTCCTTCCGGTGACTCCCTTGTTCTGCTGGGGGACTTTAACACTAATGTGGGCAATGACAGTGAGACCTGGAGAGGTGTAGTGGGGAGGAATGGCCCCCCTAATCAGAATTTGAGTGGTGTTTTGTTATTGGACTTCTGTGCCAGTCATGGATTGTCTATAATGAACACCATGTTCAGACATAAAGGTGTTCATATGTGCTCTTGGTACCAGGATACCTTAGGCCGTAGCTCGATGATTGACTTTGTCATTTCATATGATCTGCGGCCGCATGTCTTGGACACTCGGATGAAGAGATGGGGCGGAGCTGTCAACTGGGGAGGATGCCGGTCAGACCAGGCGAGCCCAAATGTATTGTGAGGGCCTGCTGAGAACATCTGGTGGAGTCTCCTGTCAGAAGGAGCTTTAATTCCCACCTTGTCAGAACTTCTAAAATGTTCCGGGAGGCGGGGAACATTGAGTCCGAATGGGCTCTGTTCTGTGCCTCCATTGTTGAGGCGGCCGACCAGAGCTGTGGCCATAGGTTCGTCTGTGCCTGTCATGGTGGCAACCCCCGAACCCGCTGGTGGACACCGGTGGTAAGGGATGCTGTCAAGCTGAAGAAAGAGTTATATCAAATCAAATCAAAGATACTTTTCAGGTCTTTTTGGCCTGTGGGACTCCAGAGGCAGCTGATGGGTACCAGCAGTCCAAGCGGAATGTGGCTCTGGTCGTGGAGGGAAAAACCAGGGCATGGGAGGAGTTCGGTGACACCATGGAACAAGACTTCCGTACAGCTTTGAGGAAATTTTGGTCCATCATCCGGCACTTCAAGAGGGGGAAGCAGTGCGCTACCAACACTATTTATAGTGGGGACAGTGTGCTGCTGACCTGTACTCGGGACGTTGTGGATCGGTGGGTAGAATACTTTGAAGACCTCCTCAATCCCACCGGCATGTCTTCCAGTGAGGAAGCAGAGTCTGGGGATTTTGAGTTGGGCTCTCCAATCTCTGGCCCTGAAGTCAATGAGGTTGTCAAAAAACATTTTGGTGGAAAGGTTCTGGGGGTGGATGAGATCCACCCAGAGTTCCTAAAGGCTCTGGATGTCATAGGGCTGTGTAGCCTGAAGTGGCTCTGCAATATCGCGTGGCCATCTGGGACAGTCCCTCTGGATTGGCAGACCAGGGTGGTGGTTCCCTTATTTAAAAAGGGGGACCGCAGAGTGTGTTCCAGCTACAGGGGGATCACACTCCTGAACCTTCCTGGTAAGGTCTATTCAGGAGTTCTGGAGAGGAGGGTCCATCGGATTGTCGAACCTAGGATTCAGGAGGAGCAATCTGTTTTTTGTCCTGGCCGTGGATCAGTGGACCAGCTCTATACCCTTAGGAAGGTCCTGGAGGGTGTGTGGGAGTTTGCCCAACCAATCTACATGTGTTTTGAGGATTTGGAGAAGGTGTTTGACCGCATTCCTGGTGAGGTCCTGTGGGGGGTACTCCGGGAGTATGGGGTACCAGTCCCTCTGATATCGGCTGTTAGGTCCCTATATGACTGGTGTCAGAGCTTGGTCCGCATTGCCGGCAGTAAGTTGAGCTCATTCCCAGTGAGAGTTGCACTCCGCCAAGGCTGCCCTTTGTCGCCAATTCTGTTCATAGCTTTTATGGACGAGATTTCTAGGAGCAGCCAAGGGGTGGAGGGCATTCACTTTGGTGGCCTGAAAATTGGGTCTCTACTTTTTGTAGGTAATGTAAACCTGTTGGCTTCATCAGAATGTGATCTTCGGCTTTCGCTGGAGCAGTTTGCAGCCGAGTGTGAAGCCCATTGTCTTGAATCGGAAAAGGGTAGAATGCCTTCTCCGGGTCAGGGATGAGGTCCTGCCCCAAGTGAAGGAGTTAAAGTATCTCGGGGTCTTGTTCACGAGTGAGGGAAAGCTGGAACGGCAGATTGGTGCTTCATCTGCAGTGTACCGGTCTGTCATGGTGAAGAGAGAGCTGAGCCCAAAAGCGAGCTCTCAATTTATCGGACGATCTCTGTTCCTACCCTCACCTATGGTCACGAGCTTTGGATAGTGACCGAAAGAATGAGGTCACGGATATAAGCGGCTGAAATGAGTTTTCTCCACAGAGTGGCTGGGCTCTCCCTTAGGGATAAGGTGAGAAGATCAGTAATCTGGGAGGGAATCAGAGTAGATCCACTGCTCCTCCACATTGATAGGAGCCAGTTGAGGTAGCTCAGGCATCTGATTAGGATGCCTGCTGGACGCCTCCCTGGTGAGGTTTTCCGGGCACGTCCAACCATGAGGAGGTCTAAAGGGAGATCCAGGACACGTTGGAGGGACTATGTCTCTCCCCTGGTCAGGCAATGCCTTGGGATTTTCCCAGAAGAGCTGGCCCAAGTGACTGGAGAGAAGGAAGTCTGGGCCTCTCGACTTAGGCTGCTGCCCCCGCGACCCAACTCCGGATAAGTGGAAGAAAATGGATGGATGGATATTTTTCTTGTTAACATCAATGCAAAGTTTTGATTTATTAGCAGATTGCTGAGATCACCACAATAACCACATACCATCTAATATGAAGTCTACCTCAGCTTTAGCACTCTAAAATCACAAATGAGGTCCCTCCTGTTTTCTGAGGCCAGATTTTCCTTGCAGTTTTTTTTTTTTTAATGTTTCCATGTTGTTTCACTACTGTGTCTAGGCACACTATTCCAGAAAAAAACCCTAAAAACATTTCAATTCAATTTAATGTTCATGTTTTTATTCTTTAAAGTTGTATAAAAACTGCCCAAAATTCTGGCAAACAGTAGTAGTTGCACATGTACAGTATTTAGCACCATAAATTTTAACAAAAGCTTATAGTAAAGTTTCTCTATAGCTGTAGACTAAATAAATAAATAAATCAACAAGTAACGCACATCCTTTGTCCATGCAGTGAGAGTTAATCTTATGTTTTTGCATACCATATAAAAATAGACTGGGGTAGAAACGCCATTTTTAACTTGAAAACATTTACACAGAGAATGAGTACAAACAACAAAGGAGGTCATAAGTGCAAAGCGTGGAGTGAAGGGCTCCAGTGGCAATTTAAAACCCTGTTCTTAATTGATCTTAGTGCAAGACTTTAAAGGTGCGGGACACCCATTTAAGCAATACATTTGCAGTGGTCTCTAGTAGGAATGAATGCCTTGTAAGTCTTTACTTAGTGGTAGGGTGTGGGGTGTCTGTAAGTGTGTGTGTGTGTGGGGGGGGGGGGGGGGGGGCTATCTGGTTTAAGGTGTGTTTCTTTTTGTACCTTGTGCCACGGGCCCGATCTGCTCAGCGGATGGAGAGGGGGGAGGGGAGGGAGGCAAATTGGCCGACTCATCCACTGTGAAGGGAAAAAAAGAGAAAGACAGAGCAGACGAGACATGGATGGGAGGACGAAAATGAGAAATTTGGTTTTGGATTCACCTGTAAAGGACGGATTGCGTGCTTATCTAGGATTTGAACCTGAAACTGCAGTGACTGCGCTGCAATGAAAGATGTCTCCTGCACTCTTTCCAATATGAAATAGTCTGATTTGTTTTAGCGCCTGAAGGGGATTGATTGGCCTTGCTGGGCATCACAGATCCAATGAAACCACTCATCCATCTGGGAATCCAATCAATATTGCTGCTCTCCATGCACATGCTTTCTACCTACCTGTTGAGTGTGCAGCCGCTCCACCATGGTAACCATTCTCCCGGTATGCCGAGCTGTAGGCAGAGTATCCATTTTCACTGTTCTCCTGGCCGTTTGAGGCCCAGTGTTCGCCTGGCTGCCTGCCGTCTGCCATAACTGCCTGTTGGGAAAACCAGGGAGGGGACGGGTCGTCTGATGGGATCTGTTAGAAACCACATGGTGGAAGAACATAAAATGTCTTGAAGCTCACAATTTTATCCACTAGAGGGAGCCAGGAGCTTTACTCTTTCAGCTCAAGCCTTTGTCTCAGCATCCACACAGAAAGCAAAACTGGAAAAATACATGCATTTTTGGTCATGGATCATCTTTTCAAATATTTAATGTAAACATGAAAATGGAGTACACAAAACAAAAATAAAAACCCATATTTAACTCTCAAATGTGAGATGAGCTACAGAATAATGTATAAAACACAAAAGTGAAGTAAGTAAGTAAAAAAAACGTTTTTTTAGGTCAGTTTCTCTTTTATGTTGCTGGCAAATGAATTAGGTCAGTATTGGGGGCTCGTCCGGGATTAGTTAAAACAGGCTAGATAGGCTTGAACTTGACTGGAATTAGCATTTTGATTTGTTGGCAGTCTATCCATATTTTGACAAAAAAAGAGATTGGTTGCAGCTGCTATTTAGGACAGGTTTGTGGTCATTTGTGTACAAGCATATCCATCTAACATTTATATTTCTGGGTACCAAATATGGATGAGGTGATTCTATGTGTTGCTTGATGTCCCCAGAGGTGTTGGGTTTGGTTGGAGTTAAACCATGGCAACATCAGATTGGGGGCTTGCCCTGAAATCTGCACAGAAACAAATGACTAATTATAAAATCAAACAGTTAATTATTTTACTTAATAAAGTATTTCATTATAATCAAGTCTTTCACCAGTAAAAACAGTGTTTCGCTTTTTGGGGCAAATGCGTAATGCTAATTTTTAAACAAGATTAGCGGGGGGGGGGGGGGGGGGGATAAAGCGCTTGTCAGCTTAGCTAAAACAGCATCATTATCATCAAGTAGCTGCAGCTAATTGTACTCTAAGATCATCAGTCTCAGCGGGAGAAACACATGCATCTCTTTCTATTACTACTATTGTTTACTCTCCAGATCTGCAGTGTAACATGACAACAGGCTACTTGGGGGTTGTAGCAAATGTCTGGTGCAGTGTGAAGATGGAAGGGTCACAAGAGAAGGAGGAGGAGGGCCTACTGTCAACAGACACTGGGCCAAAGTGTCTGAGACTGAGAGCCCAGGGCTCGGTCGCAGGCGAGTCTGGCCCCAGCTGTTGCCAAGGAAGAAAGCTGGTGTGTTAACAGCCTGACTGTGTTGACGCTGGCTCGCACTACCTGCTTTCAGCTGCTGTTTTGGCAACATCATGCCACATTTCCTCACCCACTGTCATCACAAAAAGCATTTCACCACTTTAAACAAAAAAGCTGCTTCGTTTTCCTCTTTTTGTTTCCACAAACACAAACATCTACATCTCGCACATATTCCCCAAACTACAGCATTTACTATCTCTGATTATTTATTGGATGCACTGGTGTCTGATGTGAGAGGACCTGGAAAACGAGTTTAGAGACTTTCTTTTCTTTAGGATTTTTGCAAAAATGGCAACTGATGGAATTTATTTAAAAGAAAAACACATTTAGTATTGCAACATATGTGGATCAGGATTTGGGAGTTGTTAAGACTCAAATGAGCATCGGTGTGATGTTTGGTTGCATGTCCCAGTGCATTCTGGGGCTTGTAGTTTTTGTGGTGTTTGCACTCTACACCCACAGGCGTGTTATAGTCAGCTTAGTTACAACCATCGACATATATACCGGACAATTCATTTCCATAGGCTCCAATAACACGTTTTTGGGCCAAAATGGGAGGTGGCCACCACAGCCATTTTTTGGTTACAACACAATGCCAAAATGCATTATCTGCCCTAATAATGCATATTAAAATAATTATCATATTTTAACCTCATGGAAAACCCAAGAAAAACATATCTGATTTTATTATTTAAAATAAACATGCAGAAACTGGATGGAATTAAAACAAAATGTAATTTTAAAAGTTTATAGAGTAAATCCAACTTTATTTATCTTCTATATAATATGAGATGAATAAAACGTACATTCTAAAAGTTGACCTTTAATATTCTAACTTCTGCAACCTTTGATGCTAAACTTATTTCCTTTTGTTGTTTGGGTCTGCTCCCTCTTTAAACCCTGCTCTCCAGGCAGATCATGTCATCCTGCTGCTAACGGGAGCTGACGTTGCCCTTTCTTGTTGCCCACTCTAAGCTGTTTACTAGTTTTGCTGCGTTTAACCATTTTCCAGTTTTAAGTCATCTGTAAGGATCAGAATGGCCTCACAAGCACCAGTCAGCTTGTTTACATTACTAACACGAGTAAAAACTAGCTACACATGCTCTCTGGTACCATTCAGTGTCCTTCGGTATCGCCATGAAACCCATGCTGGACATGATCTAATCACCGTATAATGAGGTTTGCAGCCTTTAGAGTTTTGGTGGTGGGTGGCACAGCTGACATCCTACAGCCAACCCATTGTTATGGTCTTAAAAGAGTTAAACCAGTCACACCAGGAGTCAGAAAGGACGGTCAGGTCTCATTAAATCTAAGGATTGACGTCTTAAATTGAATAGGCCAGCGGAGTTTTGTTACAGATAGGAGAAGGTGTGGCATCAAGCCGTGAGGCACACTCGATTTATATTCTTTAAACATCTTTGGTGTGTTCTTGCTGTGTTGAAATTCTAATTCCATCTTTCAGTTCTTTTTGAAACACAGAAAGGTTTTATTTACTTGCAACGTTTCGTTTGCGGCTGCAAAGTGTCAGCCTGACGAAGTTTGCAGCCGCAAACGAAACGTTGCAGGTAAATAAAACCTTTCTGTGTTTTAAAAAGAACTGAAAGATGGATTTATATTCTTGTTTTGCCGTTATCTGTTTTCTTTCACGTTCACTGCAGCATTGTCCACCCTCAGATTTCACCCCCAACCCGGTCCTAATCCAATCTCGCTCCCCTCCCTGTCTGCGCCTCGCCGAACCCACCATGATCTGGGTCACACATCATGCCTCCATGGAGCGCCGCTCGCATCGGAATGTCAACGTCCATTTAGGAGGGATCTCTGGCAGCCTGTTTCAGCAGCCCAACCTGGCCTTAATCCTCCGTGTGAGCCGCTGGATGTCTGAGAAACTTGGCCGGATCTCCTCTATTAGGGATGATTTCTCTGCTCATGAGGTGATTATTCATCGACAAAGACCTCATAGGCATGCTGAGCATAGACACTCTAAACAAATAAACTAACATTTATTTATACTACTAATATTTATTGGTCTCTGTCCTTCTTTGTCCTGCATGCCCAGATTTGTAGTTTCTCAACTATGAACAGCCTTTCTGAGAAAAGTGTCATACGTCGTGTGTCCTCATAATTTTGCATCGACTGAGGAATCCAGTGAGACACATTCTTTATGTTATACTTCCTAGATGTGATGTTAGTGAGAAAAAAACAAACTTCTTTATTTTCTTTGTCTTGTGCTTTTTATTGACAATCAGCTAACTAAATATGCTAACCGCTAGCATTACAGCTAACAGCCGTGAAGCAGGTAAAGAGCCCCTCCGTTAGGACGCCTACCCGCTCCACAAAACTATCTGTAACTCTGTGGTTTTTGGTCAGCAGAAGACTGCAGAGTAGTGTCAAATATGAAACTGCTTAATTTTCTAACTGAAATCAATGTTGAAGCCCTAGCTAAAAATTAAAAACACAAACAAACAAACAAACAAAAACCTACCTGTTGCTTCTATAAAATATACCTTAAGCTCTTCTAAAAGTGATGACTGAAATCAGTCATGAACAGTCTTTAAGTTGTAGTTTGTTTATCTCATTTACACCAAAAACTTGTTTTTTTTCTCAGAAGAAAAAAATAGATATTTTTGTTGACCCCATTTACACTTTGGTGAGTAGGTCCAGCACCTGCCCACAGCGTAAGCAGCTCTGTAGCAGACATCCTCCACTCCTAAGCTACGCCTATCACTTCTAAATATAATCTACATACAATTTATTTTCCTGACAAAATTCCAATGCTTGCTTAACATATGATTGTATTAAATGACACGTTTGCATAATCAACTCTTATTTAATCTGTTTGTCTATTTAGGTTCCATCTGGGGTTTTCTAATAGGATTACAACTTACTAAGCCCTAACATACATCTTAACTTTTCTCTCTCTAACACTTCCTAATTCTACAGTTTTTTGGGTGCATTTTATGTGACAAAAAGGCCAGATAAAGAAAATTCTTCAAAAATGTATATTTTTAAATCCCTGAACATCATCAATTTTCATTTTTCTACAATAATACTGTGAACGTTTGTTGTTTTAGATAAAATGCAATTTTTTCTTTTGAATTTCTAAATAAAAACTTAACCTTCAACCAACTGAGGGATAGCTAAAGTGCTCCTGACCTGCAATTGACTCAACGCAACCCCCTCTCCCTCCTGCTCATGCGTAGCAGTGCATGAGCAGATTACACTTCATTGACTTAGCAAGACGTTAGAAAGAATTAAAGCATAAGAAGTGCTGTCAGAGAAGTGTGAATGAAGTGAGTAACTGGGAACAAAAAGCCACGTGCACACACAGACATGAACAAGAGGAGAATTGTAGTGGCCTATTATACGGAATATGAAAGCAATTTGATCATACTACAATGACTGGAATGTGTAAGTACATATTTAAATAATTCATCTGTAGGGATGTAAGGCATTTTTTTTCTCATTTGTATTTTGATTTGGCTCCAAACTATTACAAAAAAAAACACAAAATAAAATAAAATAATTATTTGGTCACTTCTCATTTTTAAAGCATGCTTAGATTTTGTCATTCCTTTATAATGAAACACACATCTGATGGATCCTATAGTGATGTTTAAAATCAGGATTGCAGAATGAGGGCAAAACACACTGACAGTATGGGTTGTGTGGAAAAAAAGCCTCCATTATGTTTGCTTATGAGGCCTTTTGATAAACATATTCATATTCCTGAGACCTGAGTTTTTGTTTGATGTGCATTTGTTGGTTTTGCAGCTGCAACTTTGTCAGAACCGGTCCAACATGGAACTTCCTGGATAGTCGGGAGAGGACTT